TATATATATATATACATATATATATATGAAAACTGTGGCATGTCAAGGAGAAATAAGGCAACAACACATCTGCCCGATAACACATTTGATTTATTTTAACAAATAAAAATGAATCCTTACAAATATTAATGTAACGATGTCTTGTCTCATGACCTAAACATCATCTCCTTCTTGTTCCTGATTTCGCCTCCTGGCCAGAATCATGATGTCATCTGCAGACACACACAAAAAAATAATTAATTAAATAAAAGAATAAATTGAAAAATTTGAAAAAAAAAAAAATTCAAGGTTGCAATTTATTTTTAAAAAATTGAATTAAATGTTCACATCCCCTAATGATTGATACAATTACAATTTATATCATTTAGGAGGCGGGCTTGGACCCTGCCACTCAAGGCCAAACTCCCCTGTCGACATCTAGCGTTTCATGAGTCATTACATTACAAGAAATACAAGTGGAAGCATTAATTAGCTGACAGATTTCTGTACCTTTTCAGATGTGTTGCTTAGAGACAGTGTCTTTGCAGGCTAAACAAAATTGATACCCTAGCTCACTGCGGTAAAAGTGTTTACGAGTCCATTCGCCATGTCTTTTCCCTTAAGTCCATTCGCCATGTCTTTTCCTTTAAGTCCATTCGCCATGTCTTTTCCCTTAAGTCCATTCGCCATGTCTTTTCCTTTAAGTCCATTCGCCATGTCTTTTCCTTTGTTTAATATATTTGAGTATTCAGTTGAACTTATGCTTGAATTGAACGCCAAGAGTCTTTGTTTAATATATTTGAGTATTCAGTTGAACTTATGCTTGAATTGAACGCCAAGAGTGTGTAGTAAGTATCAGATAGCAGCAGTACACAAGTGGGGCCTTAGTTATATTTTTCTTTGTTCATACACTATTTTTCTGACTAGGATAGGTCAGGAAGTATTAAACATCATTTATATAATATGTAATATGACATTGTCATTATCCGGTATAATATTTGAATGAATTTGACGAAACACCTGTGGAAAAAAACCCCTTAATTGTTAGTTAACTTATTATAGTATAGTTGCAATGGTGACATTCACTATGAATTTGGCATGCAAGTTCAGTAGGCCTACGCAATAAGGTTGATAAAACTATCCGAGTTTCAGTAAAGAATTTTGTTCTTGTGATATCAACACAAAGATTCATGACTCAGCAGTTGATATAATTGATTGTAAATATGTAAAACAGTGAAACTTGGAAATAATGAAGTCGCTGCGCCTGACCTTCAATTTTGTTGAATCAGAGTGTTCATTATAGCAAACATGAGGTTTATGAGTAGATTAAATAACTACAGGCACCGAGCAAGTACATGAAATGATGTTTAAAAAAGGCATTCGACTGCCTCAGTCATAGGCAGTTTGGTTTCAAATGAGAGGCATTTTCGTTTCTTTGATGCCATACTGAAGAAAAGCTACAAAATTCTAGGAAAATATGCTGAACTCTACCCAGGCACACACTGTAGGCCTATAAAAGGGTTGATTCATTCAAATGCACACCTGTGTCACCTAAATTAAATTTTCATCATACATGACATATTGTTTGCTGAACAAGTTGTGTTGCTGTGTAGAGCCTAGCATACGACATTACATGTACTTGATTCCACAGAACAGCAAGCAACTCATTATGTACATCTATGTCAAGTCATCCGTGTGTAGTATTGATTAGTAATAGTAGCCAAAAAAAAAGACTGACACTTTTGTATCTCTATTAACATTCCACGCCTGTACCATTGTGTCCTCTTCCCCATGACATACGCACATACATGCTATCAACTTGTGTGTTAGTATAATGAAAGAAGGTCGCTGATTGGTTGCACAAGATATAAACAATTAGCTAAGCGAATAATGGTTCACGGTGCAGGGGCCATGGATGGTTTCCAGACATATATAACGTTTGTTGCGGGAGAAAAATGAGGGAAGCCACATCAACGTTGAGTCCGAGCTTGCTCATCCATGTGTTCATTGAATTCGAGTTGTTTTTATTGATTTTAATGAATTTAAAAAAAAAAGGGGAATCCATTTCCTTTCCCTGAATCCAAGTTCTACTGTATGGCCTAATTGACAAAGTACAAATCATTTATTTTAGTCAGGGCCACCACAAACTGAGTTGGATGCTGTGTCCCAGAGGATAAACAGGGACACTTGATAAAATTAATTAAACAGAGAGCAGGACACAAAGTGTTTAATACAGTGGACAATTTCTTGAACCCCTCCATTTTAAAACTTCAAGGAGCAAGAGAAAAAAAAGGTGGCTCTAAAAAGGATCTTGCAAAGAAATGCACTTAGACTTAGAGGTCTTATACACCAGTTTATAAAAAAGGCAGCTCATTTAACTCTATTTTTAAATTTTAAATGTATGTACAGTCGAACCGGCCATGACAGCCACCTGTATATAATAATACACGGCAACCTGCACAAACTGCCACTTTCCATTTCCTCCCTTGCGTTTTTTCGATATAATTTAACTGTGTAAAATTGTCACTTGTCCAACACGGCTGCGGCCACCTTATTTTATCAACCCATGGTTAAATTTACCTGCCTCAGGCGGCCAGGCTTGGTCACTCATTGCCCGACACTTTGTCATAAATTTTGAATCGGCTCACGCTGCGGACGGGTCGTCCTAATTCATTCCCCTGTCGTTATTGTTAGTCCCTCCAGTGAATGTTCACCCAAGCTGGCCAATGGGTAACAATAAATTTTCAACTGCTGGTGAGGGAAGTGCGACCCGTCATAACCTATAAAGCCCCACCCACAACTCGAGCACAAATCGTGCGTGAGGTGACTGGTCACTGTTTTGTTTACCTAATCTTTAACAAAGTAACAATGGACTTTGAAGTGAATTTGTGACAGAAGCGTCGCTCGTTCTCCGAGCGGTACCGACCCGTGTGTTCGTTTTACCCCGGCACCCGGTCGTCATTGTCTTACTTACATAATATTCCTTTTATTTTACCCTTGCACAAAATCAGCAACAAAAAGAAAGCTTACCAAAAAACAAACAAACAAAACAACACAAAAAAACTTCTTAAACCAC